CGGCGAGGCGGGGGGCTCCGGGCGCTGCTGCTCCTCACCCCGGGAGAGCAGCCTGAGCCTTTCTCTGACCGGGTGGCGCCGTCTCCTGAGGCGAACCCAGCCCGAAGCGGGCGGGCCGCGGCCACCACGGCCCGCCTCATGGCCCCAATGAGCCCGGCCCCGGCCCCAGCCTGTAAAGAACAGGAAGGGCGTTTGATCAAGTCCTTGGCACCGCCTGTCACTGAGGGGAATGACCAGAACTCCACCGAAAGAGAGCATATGGTACAGCACGGTTAGTTTTTATTTTTAACAAGTTCCAGTATATAGAAATCAATCTATAAAAATAGAAGTTTTAAGTAGGGAGAGAAATACACACCACCTGCTTGTTAGCCCGGAACTGCCATTAAAATCACTCGTCTCCACATTAAAACTTCAGGGACCCTTGTGGCGGTTGTGCAGCTGCAGCTGAAGCCCGTTACAATTGTAATGTTCTGGGGTTGTAATCAGTGCTGTGCTGCTGGTATGGAAATTGATGGAAACGTTGACATTTCACGGTGAGCAGTGGCATAGGTCAAGCTTTTCCCAAGTTTTTCTGTCAAAAGAGAGAACCTTTTTATTTTGTACTTTTTTCTGCCTGGAGTTGAGCAAGAAAACAAGTACTCTCTTCTACTTTCACTTGCTTCCACTACATTTGGCCCTGGCTCAGGATCCCCATGAGTATCACCTTGGGGTTGGGATCAACAACAATTTCCTCCAAATCATTAGATAATGGTAGCTAAAGGTTTGCAGGTGTAAAATCACCTGAGAAGTGGTGGGAGGGATATGAATTTTGAATGTGTGATTCAAATTACGATTTCAATGTTGAAATCAGGACTTCTTTCTTAATGCTTAGTCTGGCTGTGGCAAGAACTAAAATCTCTCCTGAACAACACTTTTTAACAGGCCAAGAGGCAGAGGAAAGAGGTTTAGTGGTACACAGAACATGCTGGAGCTTTGCAAACATTAAGACAGGCACTTCACTAATAACTACAAATCAGTTCTAATAGTGAACAATATGATGTCTCCTTTACACATTTCATTATCCCATAATTGCATCTCACTCCATAATTTGACATCACTAAAAGAACCTGAGGCTGTTACAGCATTGTCTGTTTGGAAACCTTAAGAAAAAAAAATTGACTACAACTTTTCGAAAGAAATAAGCTCTTGAGGCACTGTGAGTTTTCACTTCCAGCAAAGCAATTTAATTTTTAATCTGCTCAAACAATTTGAGCTGGAAACCTTGAATTTTAAGCAAAGAATGGTTATTTTGGCAGAATTGAGGGGTGTATTTTCTGCAGTAGATCTGCCCAGAGGTGCAACATGCCCCTGTCAGTGCAAAACTGATGTGAAGAAATCCTTTGGTTTATGTCTTTCAACACTTCTGCTGGTTTATTCAAGTTCTTGCTGAAGTTGCTGCACTGTTGGGAATTGGGATCCCTCAGAAGAAAATCCTGCAAGAACTTGTAAGTGCCCATTGCACAAATAGACTGAAAGTGCTCCGGTTCTGAGCCAAGATGCAGGAACTACACCAAGGCACAGGAACATCTTGTTGCACAATGCCCTAAACTGAACTCAAAAGCACTCAAAAGCCAAAGGAATTGTGGTATTTCCAGTGAATATGCATCCAGAAGCACTGACACTTAATGGTCCATATCCTGGCCACCAAATGGGCATCTATTTCACAGGACATTTCAAAGCCATTCCTAAAGGCAATAAGGACATGGTTCTTTGTTCGCTATTTCTGAACATCAGCTGGAGGATGCAGCCACAATGACAGCAAGGAGAAGCAACCCTCCCAAAATCAGACAGCTGATCTGAAGCAAACTGGACTTCCATTCTCAATTTTTTAATAATTCACTTTTCCTCCCCACCCCCCCCACTCCAGGGAACTGCTCTGTATCAGATGCTGCTCAGGGCTCCAATGTTTTAGGCTCCAGTATGAAAATTTTGGCTTAATCTAATGTATACTCACCCCTGAATTAGAACTGTGTGGATGGAGGCAGGTCCCTGAAATAGCAGCACTTGGGATACATGCTGTGAGAGGCAGGATATTTACTGTCACACTGTGGCTTTGGGTTGTCTCTGCAGAAAACAACGATTATGGGACTTATGAACATTATTGCTGACATGAAAAGGTTTTCAAAATAACTGCTAGAATTTGCTGTGCAGTGGGATTTATAGTAAATATGATTATCTACATATCTATGAATACACAAATTACATATTCTACAGAATGTACATAATCATCCCCATTACTGTGCTGCAGTCAGCATTGCTCAGAATTTGTTTCACTTTCTCTTCTCGGTTTAAGAGCAGATCCCCTGCTTTCTGTTAAGACTTGTAACACTGGTGGCTCTTTAGCATCTTCAGATTAA